TCCGTACAAACCACGCGTCCACGCACACATACATCCACATATACACACACCCACACTCCTCACGCGCAAAAACGCGCACCCACACACAAAGATGAGTATCCCCCGATAGCCTAACAGACTGTTGGGGCAAGTGCTGTTAGCGAGCACCTCTGAAAGCCGGAACGGCACACGAGGGTGTGGGTGACCAGCACCACGCCCATCGCCTTTGTCTACCTACTGGCGATGTTTACACACCGGACCAGACACTCGTTTGAGGCTGAGTTGACCTAGGGGAGGCCCGGGACCGGTTCATATAGTCATCACCAATTTTGGCCGTGAGCGGGAATTTAACTCGGGTCGACGGGTTCGTAGTGGACCGCGTTAACCCGAACACTACCGCGTTAACCCCAACACTACCGCGTTAACCCCAACACTACCGCGCTAACCGCGACACTACCGCTCCCCCGAAACACACACACACACATATATACACACACGCACACCCCCTGGTCCCCTCGCTGCCCCGTGACCCCCCGTACAGTGCACGCGGTGCACAGAAACTACCCCGTCCATGTCCCTGCTAATTAATCTACTCACTGACTCGTTAACTTACGAACTCACTTACAAAGTAACCGACTTACTACCTCATTAATCCACACTACTATCTAACCCACGTGAACCCCCATATATTTTTCTCATCAAGATCCACTTCCTATAGTTTCTATAGTATTGAATGGATAACTATCTGACCTACTAATCAACCTTCCAACAGATCGAATTTCACACTCACGGACGAACCTGCGAACTCCAATTGCAGAGAGGAACCCAACCATCTCACGCCGCACCGCCGCCAGCTGCCAAGCCCAAGACGATCCCCGCGGAGTCCGCTCCGCTTGGGGCTCAGTTGGCAGCAGCGAGCAGCTCTGTTCGGTGTTTATTTGGGGAGCGGTGGTGCAGCGGTTAGCGCATTGCGCTACGAACCCCGTAACCCGAGTTCGATTCCCGCTCACTCCCAATAACAGTGGCGGATATTTGAACTGGTCCTAAGCATCCCCTAGGTCAACTCAGGCTCAATCGACACGAGGGAAAGAAAAAACGACCGGGCGTGGTGCTGACGGCCCATACCGTCGTGTGCCGTGCCGGCCTTCATAGAGGTGCTCGCGAACAGCACTTGCCCCAGAGTCTCTGGGGGGGGGGGGGGGGGATATAGGGGATCTTTGTCTCTGTACTATTCTACGCACACACACACACGTGTCATACATTGTAGACGACAGTCCTGAGTGACGTAAAGTTTAATGATGCTCTAGTCGGGTCATAGAGTTGAAACTTAGCACCAATGTAGTCAAGACCCCACAGGTATAACGGGAATAATTTGTAAATCATATTTCGGGCGTGCAGATCACTCATGGGGCCGTGAGTCCTACATTGATTCATGCCGCGTGGTAAACACACGAGTCGCAGTGTCGGCGAACCGAGTAACTTGCCTCCCGTGGCGTGTCTTACGCTAAAGTAGCAACCCCGATGACACCTGTTACCACGTGGTGTGTGGATATAATATACTCACGGGCTGTGTGCGGCAATAATATACACTGTGTGTGCCGAGTACACAGTAAGTACAAACACGATGTGTATATCACATTCGTGCACAATACGTACGCTGGCTGTGTGTATACATACCTATGCATAACACATGCACGTACACATACAGTATTAACATTAATTCACAGCTCTTTGTTAATCCGCTGCTGGATGAAGCCCTCTCCACGCCCTGTCTGTCATGGGGTTGACCATACTTCACCACTCTGGTCAGTTTGGCTTGCCGAAGGGGGCCCAGGACTGATTCATATATCGCTCGCTCACACATATATACACATACATATATACAAATATAAAGATTCCCCGTATAGCCTTAACAGACTTTTGGGGCAAGTGCCGTTAGCCAGAACCTTTGAAGGCCGGCACGTGTATCGAAGGGGTGGGTGGCCAGCACAACGCCCGACTGCCTTTGTCTCCCTAGTGGCGAAGTTTACACACAGCACCAGGTACTCATTTCAGGCTGAATTCACCTCGGGGAGGCCCAGGACCGTTTCAGGTTAATCGTCACTGGTGTTGGCCGTAAGCGGGAATACAACTGGGGCCGCCAGGTTCGGAGCGCAGCGGTTAGCGCGCTGCGCTAGCGCTCCCCACACACGCACATATACTGTATATACACACACGCACATACGTGTGTTTGTGTATTTTCTGACATACACTTACACATATACATACTTGTGCATAGATATATGCATAGTGGCGAGTGCCGGTCGCTTCACTTGCGCTAAGTGCCCGGTGACTCGCGTTCTCGCTCTCACTTGCCCGGCTTACATCAGTGGCGAGTAAAACCTGAACTGGTGCTGCCTCCCCCGCCCTCTATCTTCAGCAACTCGTTCTGACCAGCGTGGTGAAGTATGGTCAAACGACGCCCACGTATTAATATTTACTGTCTCTCACACGTGCAATGCATACGCTGTATGTACATATTTGGCGCCTATACGCATGCATCATACGGTACTGCACGAATGTATATTAGAAGCCTGCACAACATATACGGTAGGACTACGAGGTAAATATTGGTATCACGTATACATCAGTAGTACCATATACATGCATAGTGAGAGTCAAATCGTTATTTCCTGCTTAAGTGAACGTCGAGGGGTTTCTAATCTCCAGGTTACAGCCCTGGGACAGTGGTGGAAAATCCACATTCCATGACACAAGTGGTACTCATGCGAGTATTCTCACACTCATGTACACACGCGTGAAACACAAACGCAGGCCTGTGTATGTGTTACACACACATAAGTATATACTTACCCAGACACATGCATAAACGCGAGTTTGTACACGAGAATCGCATGAGCATTGGCAGTGTGGTGCACGCGTGCCAGGGACGTGACGACCTCGTGACACGCGTGCACGGCATAGTCACGGGCATTTGGACGAAGTTGATTCTCGCGTGTTTTTTTTTCTCGGCATCAGTACCGACGAATCGAGATCTGTGCCAATGCTCCGCTCTCGAGACCTGATGAAGAATTGGCATCAGCATTAGAATTGGCATCAGTTGGTAACGCCCGTCTGTACATATATATTGTATTTATATACTGTACATACGTGTGCATGTAGTTGTGTTGGTATTGTATGTCTGCATATATGTGTGTATGTACACTGTGTATATAGAATATGTATGTATGTGTGCCTGTAAGTGTTCATTTGTATTTGGGGAACGGTAGTGTAGCGGTTAACCTGCTGCGCTACGAACCCGTGACCCGAGTTCGATTCCCCCTCTCGGCCACCAACCCCTGTGACGATGATCTAAATCAGTCCTGGGCCTCCTCTAGGTCGATTAAGCCTCAAATTAGTACCTGGTGTGATGTGTAAACATCGCCATTAGTGAGGCAAAGGCGGCCGGGGCGTGGTTCTGGCCACCCACCCCCTCGTGTGCTGGGCGGGCTTTCATAGGGGCTTGCTAACAGCACTTGTTCTAACAGGCTGTTACGGCTATCCGGCAGGGATCTTTGTATTTGTGTGATCGTATGCCATGTCTAGAGAACACGGGGTGTGTACTCCCTCCTCAGATACTTGGACTCACCGAGTGTCTCCGCCGGCACACTCTCCGGCCGTGCCGAATTCTTCTTCTGTACTCTGCCAGCGAGTGCTCTCTCCGTGGCAATATAATCTGTGTGTACTCTGTGTGTACGCTCCCCGTGTGTACTCCGCGCACGGGACAGATACGAGAAGGAGGCTGATGCCCGCTCGGTTGTTGCGTTATATTTGGGGCGTTGTTGCACCTCACAGGAACTCGTGACACAACGCAGCGATTGTCTCGCTGATGTTTACTGAAGTGGTGTTTTACTAAATTCGTGTTTACTAAAGTCGTGTTTTACTAAAGTTATGTTTACTGATGCCGTGATTATTGAAGTCGTGATGACTGATGTCGTGTTTACTGAAGTGATGCCTGATGTCGTGATGACTGAAGATGTGTTTACTGAAGTCGTGTGTACAGAGTGACTGTAGGCTTGCTATTAATCACGCTCACTTCTTAATAACAATCGCAAGTCATAAAGTGTGTGTGTGGCTATGTGTGTGTACACCGTGCGCACACGCACACAGTGGCGAGCACATACACAGTCGGAGTTGTGCTCTCCGCGTGCGCTCTCGAAATTTCCTCTTCAGTAGAATGCGCCCAGCCCGCGCGAATTCGCATACGTTCCGTCCCGGGCGCTCACCTCGAATAGCAACGTAAATTCGCCTTCCTTCATATATCTGTCTCTCCAAATAAACATATGTTTACACATTCCATCAGCCACACGAGACTTCTGGGAGTGCACAATTTCAGAACAATTTGTTCAACACAAGTAAAACTCTCGACCAGTTGTCTCCAATCATTGTCCCATGAGCAGCAGTCTGGCTTGCCTGAACCAATACTGGAGAGTCACGCTCTCCAAAAGTCGCGAGTGATTATTGTGTCTGATATCGGTGATGAGAATGAAACGGGAAACGAGCGCAGTTTGGTTCTCGCCTCCACGATCATCAACCCCGTGGCTCAGTGGTTGTGGTTGTTTCCGCAACAGCAGCAGCTGTTGTGTGAGAAGGAGACACGGGCCCGGTCGCGCCATGCATGCAGCGGTTGTTTAATAGACTCACGGTACAGCTCAGTGCAGTGCACACACCTCGTCATGTACATCACGCGCGTGCTATGTACACACCTCGTCGTGTCCTGTACACCAGACGCTGTATCACACACGTCGTCACGTCCTGTACAACACACACGTGTAACACACACACCTCGTCACGTGCTGTACACCACACACGTGCAATACACACACCTCGTCACGTCCTGTACACCACACACGTGTAACGCACACACCTCGTCACGTCCTGTACACCACACACGTGTAATGCACACACCTCGTCACGTCCTGTACAACACACACGTGTAACACACACACCTCGTCACGTCCTGTACACCACACACGTGTAACGCACACACCTCGTCACGTCCTGTACACCACACACGTGCAATGCACACACCTCGTCACGTCCTGTACACGTTACACCTTTATTTACAGCAGTCGAGACCTCACGAAGAGGAAGTGGGACTCACGAAAAAAGTGCGTCTGGTTGAATCTCCTACATCTCAATCTCACATTGTACAACTAGCATACTTCAGATAAGATTTACACCAAACATTTGACCTCTTACAATTCACATCTCATAAGTCGCATCTCACATTGTAAATCTCACACCTTATATCTTACAGCCCGACATATTACTTCTCTTCATCTCACAGCCATACAGCTCACATTTTACATTAAACAACTTACGTCTTACACCTCGCATCCTAGACCTCACACCTTAAAGCTCCCATCTCACGTCTCAAAGCCTCTCACCTGACACCTCGCATGTCATGTATCATATTTTACATCAGCTCAGATCGTACACCTCGCGTCGCCCTAGCATCTTTTGCGAAACGGTTTGCCGGCCAAATATCGCTACAGTCAGACGGAGAAATAATAACAATTACAATGGTGTCTGATGAGAGTAGTGATGATGAGGATGGTGGTGGTTGTGGTGATGGTGGTGTTGACGCTTCATGAACCCGCACTCCAAACCCGCGTGTGTTGGGGCGAGGCGAGAGTTCGCGTGTCCCCGTCTCTCGTGTCCCCGTGTCTCGTATCCGCGTGTCCCCGTCTCGCTCCTTCAGTGCACCGACACGGACCGCAGGGCACCCGGGGGGGGACACGACGGGAGGTGCCCGCCGGGCGAGGGGCTCCTGTGCGCGGCGGCGGGAGAGGTCGGGGAACCCGGCCCGGAGGGCCGCGGGGAGGCCCCGGCGAGGAGGAGCGAGGCGGCCACGGGAGCCGGGAGAGGCGGCGGAAGCGCGGGCTTGATGGGCACGGGCACCGCGGGGAGGCCCTGCGCCGCGTGTCCGCACACCAGGGGCGTGATGGGGACTCCGTAGGCGCCGTAGTCGCTGGTTCGCAGGCCCGGCACGGCCACAGGGCCCGCGGTCGCCGCGTCGTGCAGAACCCCCGTGGCGTACATGTGCGGCCACCCCGGGGCCAGCGAGCTCACCACGGGGGCCAGCCCGGCCGCCACAGGGTAGCTGGTGGGCACGGGCTGCACAGCCGCGGAGAGCGCGAGGCCGCCCGCCGCCATCATCGCCTTGTAATCCCGCGCAATGATGTTCTCGATAGCGAACGGATGCTTGAAGCTGGAAGCGGGTGGCAGCCCCATACCGTACGCGGCGGTGGTGAACTGCGGCAGGTGGGCCCCGCTGGCCGCCAGGGACAGACGCAGCTTGGCCGCGTGCTGTTGCTGCTGCTGCTGTTGTTGCTGCTGCTGGTGGTGCGCGTGGTGAGCGTGGTGCGCGTGGTGAGCGTGGTGCTGGAAGTATGGTGAGGGCGCGGGTTCCTTGCCGGCCGAGTGCAGCAGAACCTTGAAGCGCTTGCGCCGTCGCAGGAAGCTGCCGTTCTCGAACATGTCCCCGCACGCCGGGTGCAGGGCCCAGAAGCTGCCCTTGCCGGGCTGGTCGGGTCGCCGGGGTATCTTGATGAAGCAGTCGTTGAAGGAGAGGTTGTGGCGCAGAGAGTTCTGCCAGCGCTGCGTGTTTTCGCGATAGTAGGGGAAGCGCTCCATGATGAATTTGTAGATCTCGCTGAGCGGCAGCATCTTCTCTGCCGAGCTCTGGATGGCCATGGCCGTGAGCGAGATGTACGAGTATGGGGGCTTCTGGTCGCTGTACGTGTTCCGCCCGGGCCTCGGCATCTTCTGGGCGCGCCGGGACGCGGCCCCGCGCGCGTCGAAGTTTCGCCTTGCGCTCGGGAGGAGAGTCGCCGCTCTCCGCGCAGCCGAGAGCCGTGCGTTCCCCCGCTCCCTCCCCTCTACTCCGCTTCTCCCCCCTCTCTCTCTCCCGCTCTCTCGGGATTCGAGTGAAAGTTCCTCTACGGTGCGAACGGCGGCGACAGAGGGAGACGACGCGGAACACGGCGGGGACTCGATGTCGCTTCCTCTCACGATGTTTTGGATCGCCTCTGTGGACTCAGTTCTCTGCTCTGGACAGTATAGACCAGAACCTCGAGACTGCGCTGTATGGACTGCATAGACTGCCTGGACTCTTGACGCGATCCTCTAGACAGAGCTGGGTGCCTCGTAGGAAGCGCGGGGCGCGTCCGCCTCTCCGCGTCTCTGACGTTCGCGAGTCGCGCTCACCCCCGGAGTGGCTTCATTAATGTTTCCTCACTCCATAATCACATGACAATGGCCCCGCGAAGGCCTCATCTGGGTTCATTTGCACCTTTTTCACTCGGACACCTTGGGCCAATCGGCTGCATCGCAACGCGCGGAGGGCGGAGCGCAGGACAATAGAGGGGGGCGCGCGAGGTTGGGGGCGTTGCGGGGGGGGGGGTACGCACGGCCCTGCACCCACACCCCTCGTCTTACCCCCCCCTTTCTAAACCCCTCCCCCCATCATCCTGCGCTCCCCAATCTGTAAGGCGCGCTCCGGGACACTGGAACACGGGACATGGGAATGCGGGACACGGGGACACGGAGATAGGAGGCACGGGGCATGGGTATGCAGGACACGGGAGACACCAAAGACTTTGGAATGCGAGACAACGGGGAACACGACAGACTGTGAGACAAGGGAAACACTGAGATACGCGTAACTCTACAAGGGACATTGGGACACGGGTAACCCAATGACACGCAAAACATGTTATCGGAGACACGGGAGACGTGGGGGGCACGGGACGCGGGAGACGTCGGGAATGTATGGACACGGAAGACACTGGAAACTCGACGATACGGGCGACGCAGGGAGACACGAGAGGAGATTCACGAGTCTCGTGGTGGCTCGGCACCGTCAACGAGACCCGTGAAACCGCGCGCCTCGCGCCCCGTGGCACTGAGCACTGATGCCCCATGTCTGTGTGAACGGCTCTGTACATGCGCGCGTGTAGGTGTGGAGAGCGGTAGTGTCGTTATCAGCACGCTGCGCTATGAATCCCGCCACCCGAGTTCGATTCCCGCTCATGGACAACACCAGTGACGATTATTTGAACAGACGCTGGGCCTCCTCTAGGTGGACTCAGCCTCAAATGAGTACCTGGTGCGGTGTATTTTAACATCGCCACTAGGGAGACAAATGCGGTCGGGCGTGGTGCTGGCCACCCACCCACTCGTGTATCGTTCCGGCCTTCATAGGTGCTCGCTAACAGCACTTGCCCCAACAGTCTGGTCAGGCTATACGGGGGGTCTTTGTGTAGGGTAGCGGTTAGCGCGCTGCGATACGAACCCGGCGACCCGAGTTCCATTCTCGCTCACGGCCAGTAACGATTATTTGAACCGGTCCTGGACCTCCCCTAGGTCAACTCAGCCTCAACTCGGCCTTTATAGGTGCTCGCTCACTTACCGCAGTAGTCTGTATTTACGTGTGTGTATAACGGTAGTGTAGCGGTTAGCGTGCTTCACTACGAACCTGGTGAATCCCGTTCACGATCAACACCGTTGTGTTGAACCGGACCTCCCCTAGGTCTATTCAGCCTCAAATCAGTTCCTGGAGCGTTGTGCAAAACATCGTCGCTGGGAAGACAAAGGCGGCATGGGGGTGGTACTGGCCACCCACCCCCTCGTGTGCCGTACCGGCCTTCATAGGTGTTTGCTGACAGCACTTGCCCCAACAGTCTGTTAAGGCTATAGGGGGAATCTTTGTCTTTGTATATATGTAACCACGCGGTATTTAATATGTGCGTGTGTGCTTAGCGCACTGTGTTACGAACCCGGCGAACCAAGTTCGATTCCTGCTTATAACCAATAACAGTGGAAAATATTTGAACCGGTCCTTGGCCTCCATAGATTGACTCTGCCTTAAATGAATACCTGGTGCCGTGTCAAAAAGAACAGCATTGGCGAGACGAAAACGTGCGGACGTGGGGTTGGTCACGCACCACCTTGTGTCCCGTTCTAGCCTTATTAGGTGCTTGGAAACATCACGTAACCCACTAGTCTGTTAAGGCTCTGTTGGAGATCTTTGTGTGCGCGTGGCAGGGCATGAAAGTCAGGTAGCCGGGTTTGTTGCGCAGTGCACTGACCATTACGCTGTTCCCCATACACATGTACGTGTTTGTCTGCGTGTGAATGTGTCTAGATATATCTGTGTGCGTGTGCATGTGTGTGTAGCGGTAGCTTAGAGGTTAGGGCGCTGTGCGTAGGAACCCGGGGACTCCAGTATGATTATCTGAACCGGTCCTGGGTCTCTCCTCAACTCAATTTAAAATTAGTTCCTGAGACTAAGACGGCATGGCGTGGTGTTAGCCGCCTACCTGTTCGTTCGCCGTGACGGCCTTAACAGATGCTCGCTAACAACACGTGACGGCCTTAGCAGATGCTCGCTAACAACACGTGACGGCCTTAACAGGTGCTCGCTAACTTAACGGCCTTAACAGATGCTCGCTAACAACACTTGTTCCAACAAAGAGGTATATGGGAGATCTTTGTCAGTGCACATTTCGTTATCTTCTTTCGTATGCCAGTATTTTCTGGAGATAAATACCAATATCGAGGTCTGCTCGCCACGAAAGGGGCCCAGGAGAGAGTTCGCGTAGTAATGCTGTTCCTCCGTTTACTGTATTGCGAGTATATTTGTGTGTTCTGTGCGTGTCACTAGTTCGTCCTACGAACCCGACCACCTGAATTTGATTCTCGCACTCCTCAGCCTTACCTGAGTACCTGAGGCAGTGTAAAGATGAGCACATGAAAGACAAAGGCAGGCACGGTGTGCGTGGCGCGGGGATGGGAAGACTGGGGGTCCGCCTGTGTGCGTAAGACAAAGATCCCCCGTGTAGCCTTAACAGACTGTTGGGACAAGTGCTGTTAGCGAGCAACGCCTATGAAGGCTATCACGGCACACGAATGGGTGGTCAGCACCACGTCCGGTCGCCTTTATCTCCCCAGTACGAATGTTTGCACACCTCACTAGATACTAATTTGAGGCTGAGTCAACCTAGGGGAGGCCCAGGATAGTCGTCACTGGTGTTGGCCGTGAGCGAGAATCGAACCCGGGTTGCCGGGTACGCTACACTACCTCTCCTCGGAGAGGCCGAGTCGACCTAGGAGAGGCCCACACCCACACGACCGCAGGTGACAGGAACGCACAGCGCTTCACACGAGCACTCGTCCCAGGTCGTACGCACGCGTATAGACATGCAGTATAGAGCTACGAGAAGCAACTCTTAGACACACTGTGCACACCCTTACACACGTATACACACCACACTTATACAGGCGCATTCAACATACTCATGCATTTGTACACAAATTCACACGCATATTCTCTGACGCTTACGTGTTTATTAATGTGTGTGGCCTGTATATCTGTGTACGTATAGGTGTGTGTATGTACAGTATATATCAACGGGTCCGGCAAGAGCTAGAAAAGAGATGGGCTGCTGTGGTACAAAATGATGTGGAGCTGAGTGGACTGTCCGATGTCCTGTACCAGCGGTGTCAAGATCGGTCTCTGTGGAGGGGGCTCGTGAAGGAAGCCACTGGGCAATTGGAAGCAGTCGCCCTCCAGCAACAAAGGAGGGCGGAAGAACGACGCTCAAAACGATAAGCGGAGCACCAGGCGGATAAAATGCAGCAAGCCGGCACAGTGGGGAGCACAGGTGGTATATTCCTCAGTCATCTGAGTTAATCCAAAACACCTAGGTCTGTCCCGTTACCTACAAACGAACCTTCGACACTTCACGTGGGTTCAAGGTGAACCTAGCCTGGCACAAGCGCCGGCGCAAGCGTTACGTGTGTACACGAGAGTGTGCGTAGTGGGGAGCGGCATTTTAGCGCTGCGCTACAAATCCGTCGACCGCTGCGCTACAAATCCGTCGACCGCTCATGAACAGCGAATATCGAACCGTTGCTGGGCCTCCCCGAGCCTTAAAAACGAGTATCTGGTGAATTACGTAACAATCAAGACTGGGGGGACAAATGCGACCTGGTGTGGTGTTGGCCACACAACCCCCATGTGTGCTGTTCTGGCTTTCATAGGTGCTCGATAATAGCACATGCACCAACAGTTATAAGGGGATATTTGTATTTAAGTGGTAAGCGTATACGTGTTATGTATTTATGTATATGTGTGGTGCATTATGTATGTGTGGTTTGCAGTGTGCGTGTGTATTTTTTATGAGTATTTTTGTGTATTTTTACAACGATGAAATATTTATATTTACCCCATGAATGTACACAAGCACACACATACAAAGACAGAAACAAAGATCTCCCGATAGCCGTAACGTGTACACAAGAGGGGTGGGTGGCTAGCACAACGCTCGACCGACTTTGTCCCCTAGAGGCAATGTTTACACATCGCACAAAGTACTCATCTGAGGCGGAGTCGATAATCGAACTCGGGTCACGGGGTTCGCAGCGCAGTGCGCTAACCGCTGCGTCACAAGGCTGTTGGGGCGAGTGCTGTTAGCGTCACCAATGTTAGTGGCCGTGAGCGGGAATCAAACTCTAGGCAAGCAGCTAACCACTACAAATACAAAGATCCTTCTACAGTTATTTTGCTGTGCCTTTTTACACCTGATGAAGGAAGCTTGTGTTGCCTCCGAAACGTCGTGATTTTATTTTATTTAATATTTATTATTATTTTACCTACGTGACTTTACCTATAGAACCAAAGAGTATCCCCCATATAGCCTTTAACAGACTGTTCGCAAGCACATTAATGTCGGGACGGCACACGAGAGGGTGGATGGCCAGCCGCACGCCCGGCCGCCTTTGTCTCCCTAGTGGCCATGTTCACATACCACGGTACTCAGATGCACTGCTGAGTACTTGGTGAGGTGTGTAAAGCCCAGGACCGGTTCAGATATTCGTCACCGATGTTGGCCGTGAGCGGGAATCTAACTCTGGTAGCCGGGTTCGTAGAGCGGCGCGCTAACCGCTACACTACCGCTTCCCACGTATACAAAGACAAACGCACACAGGGCATGTGAAGTCAGGTGTCGTCCAGTTTGGATGGGCATGACGTGGTGTTGGCATATGAACGCGCGTAGTCTGTGTTAGGCGTGTATGTGTGTGTTATGTGTATGCGTGGTATGTATGTCTTGTGTTTGTTATGTGTATGCGTGTACTGTATATGTTAGCACATTGAACGAGCGTAGCGGAATTCCCTACGAGTCCAGCGAACATAAGTGGCGAGTGATACCTGAACCGGCCCTGGGCTTCCTCTGGGTTGTGATAAACATCAACGTTGGGGAAACAACGTGGATGTTTTTGTGGTTAGTTTGTTGTCCTTCCGCACCTCTGATTATCACGGTTGGCTACGTGCGGTGCGAAAGAAGTTCAACATACGTGCAAAGGCGTCCTGATG